TCTTGCTATCTCAAAGTATTTCTCCCCACAAGAGTGTGAAAGTGTCATATCATTGACTATCATAAACTTGTAGCTTTAAATACTAATAAAATCTGTATCACAACTATTTAGACAAAACACATTTGGCATGAGCTTTTCAAATGTAACCAACAGAGTTGCAAATTCACATGCAACAGATAGTCCCTGGTATATAAACAAAACATTTTTTTCTTACACAAAATCATAACCTGCCCCGTGAATCATGTCATTGTCATCGAGCACCCAAAGGTGAAGGAACAGGACTGGGGCTTCCATGCAGCCACCTGCCATCAAAGCCTGCATCTTCTCTATGTTCTGCTCCAGAATGAGCCAAGTCAGGGAATACACAAGGTCATTCCCTAAGACCTTCTCATGGTCCTTCTCCCTTCAGCAGATCAGCTCCATTTCATTTTCAGTGGCTCCCTATTACCTGCAGAATGGAGTCTGACCTCCTGGTGCAGGCGATTAGGCTCCTGCTCTCTGTGTGCTGCTAACATCACAATCCCACCTCTACTCCCAGTGTGCAATTTGTCATGCGAGCCAAATGAATCAGGACCTTAGCTTTGACTTGGAATAAGAGGGGAGCCCATATAATTTCTAAGCAAGAATGGCAAGATGAACCTGACATTTATCTTATTCTTCTCACATTCAACATATCCAGTACACAAAGGCATTCACCCTCACACTCCCCAAGCGTCCCTGCCAATCATAACTTCATTCTGCCCTACTCCAAGATTCCTCCTGCACAAGGCTTCCCTGGGTATTCTAGCAAACTCTGACCCTCCCTCCTGCTGTGATAAGACAAATACTCAGAGCATTTGGCTTAGGCCATAGTTCAGTTTTTCATCTTGTTCAATTTTCATGTGCTATTGGTACATGCTTATAGTATATAATGACTGTGTTCCTTGTGTGGCAATGATACACGTATATAACAACATCCTAATGCTTTTTTTCACCTCTTCCCCTCTCTAATCACTTCCTCCTTCTCTAGGCCCCCTTACCTTTTGCAAAATATCAATTTTTTTATTTCCTATTTTATGTCATTTTACTCTTTTTTTATATTTTGTGTTTCTCACATAAGAGAAGCCATGCAGAATTATTTTATCTAATTTATTTGTATTTATTTATTTCTGATTTATTTCTATTTATATTATCTAATTTATTTCACTTAATGTGGTCATAAGATTCATCGATTTTCCTACAAATAGTTTAATCAGTGATAGAGTAATTCTCTGTTGTATACAAATATTGCATTTTCTTTATCCATTCATTTATTGATGGACATTTAGGCTGCTTCCAAGATTTAACTATTATGAACTGTGCTACTTTAAACACAGGTACGCATGTATCAAGTGTTATATGACATCTAGCTCTTTCAGGAAAATATCTAGAATAAAAATATCTGGGTCAAGTGGAATTTCTAGTTTTAATTTTTTCAGGAATCTCTACATTGTAGTTGTACTAGCTTGTATTTCTCCCTACAGTATAGAAGGGTTCCTTTTACCCACAGCCTTACCAGCACTTGTAATTATTTTATGTCTTTCTTTTCTTTTGTATTTTTAAAGTTTTTATTTGTAGTTTAGTTATACAAAATGGTAACATTCATCGTAGAAAATTTGTAGCTGCATGTGATATATCTTGATTCTTCTTTATTCTACTCTCCACTTCTCACATTAGCCCCTTTCCCTCCTTGTTTACAAAAGCTTTGTTTCCTTTTTTCTTTCTTTTTATTTATTTTTTTTTTTGCGTCTCTTCTGTTTTTCATGCCTCCCTTGTTCCCCTTAAAGAGCATTTTCTTCTCATTTCTCGGTATCTATTATATATTTCTTTTTTTATTTTATTTAAAGAAAAAAAAACAAACAGTAAAACGGTACAAGTAATATAGAATTTCAAAAAATAAACAGTAAGAAATCACTAATTAATAGATTACATTTTGTCATCTTAGAAATAGTTGTTCAGGGGCTGGGGATTTAGCTCAGTGGCGTAAGCGCCTGCCTTGCAAGCAGGCAGTCGTGAGTTCGATCCCTGGTACCGATAAAAAGGAAAAAGACAAAAAAAAAAAAAAAAAAAAGAAAAAAGAAAAGAAAAGAAATAGTTGTTCAAGTTACAAAATTAAAGCATACAACGTGGACATTCAAACAGTGAGACTGCAAACAGTTGTGTTCAATGATCCAACAAAAACTTAGTAATATGGTCATCTATTTTACACACCTAAACACACTTGCAGTTGTATCCTGTAGAGCACTTTTTATTCCTCTCTTTTTTACAATAACATTTACACATTTTGGGTTTTATTACTCCCACAGTTCTTATTACTTTTTTTTTGGAAGAGAATAAAACCAAATGTGACAAAACAAAGCAGTCAGTCAAAACAAAGGATGGACATGGTACATGATATAAAAACAGAATACAAGGTAATCAACAATGGTTACCATAATGCCTCTTGCTACCTTAAAAACAATTGCCTATATCATTAGGTATAATAAAATTGAACAAAACAGTACAGAACAAAACCAATAAAACCTAAACATTGGAGACATTACAGGACTTCAAAAGAAGATAATAGTCAAACCAGAATGGGCATCATAGTGAATCTTATTGCCTTCAAAGTAGTTGCCTATACCCTCAAACTTGATACTATCAAACAGAACAGAATAGAGTAAAATAAGTCAAAACAAGATGGTGAGAAAAATACGGGACTTCAAATCAAGTTAATAGGAAATCAAAACAGTTACTATAATATGTCCTGTTAATTTTTAAATTTTTTCCCTTAATTAAACAAATAATAAAAATAATAAATAAATAAATAATTTTTAAGGGGGGAGATTGACATAAAAGAGGACATAACAACATAACAATACAGGTCAAAACAGAACAATTTAAGCAACATGTTGTCTATTATATATTTCAGTCTTTATTTATACTTTTAATTTCTCAGAGGAAAAGTATAGTTATTTCTCTCAGTTTGTTATTCATGTACAAGAAAGCTGCTGATTTTTGAATGTTGACATTGTATCTCACTACTCTACTGAATTTGGTTATTAAATATAGAAGTCATTGGGTGGGATATTTTGAGATCTTTTATGTAGGGTTACATGTCATCCACAAATAATGATAATTTAACTTCTTTCTTTTCTATCCTTATTCCTTTTATTTTCTTCTCTTGTCTAATTGCTCTGGTTAATGCTCCCAGATATACATTAAAGAAGAGAGATGATAATGTACATCCTTGTCTTATTCCAGATTTTAGAGTGAAAGTTTTCAGATTTTGACCATTTAGTATGATATTGGCTGTTGATCTATCATAGATGACTTTTATCAGATTGAGAGAAAGACCATCTATTCCAATTTTCTGTAGACTTTTTATTATGAATGGGTATTGAACTTTGTCAAATGCTTTTTATGCATCTATTGAAATGATCATATGATTTTTGTCCTTGGCTCTGTTAATATGCAGTATTATGTTTATTGATTTGCATATGTTGAACCATCCCTGAATCCATTGGATGAATCCTACTTGTTCATGGTGTATAATCTTCTTGATGATTTGCTGTATTCTGTTTGCCAGTATCTTATGGAGGAATTTTGCGTCTATGCTCATTAAGGAAATTGGCTTGTAGTTCTGTTTTTTTGTTGGATCCTTTCTGGTTTTGGTATCAGAGAAATGCTTGCTCTCAGGAGTGGGATTATTGCTTCTCTTTCAACTTCATTAAAAAAATTTGAAAAGTAGTAGCATTAGTTCTCTAAATTTCTTATAGAATTCAAGAGTGAATCTGTCAGGATCTGGCCTTTTCTTTGTTGGTATGTTTTTAAATTACATTTTCAATTTCATTGACTGATATTGGTTTATTTAGAATTTTTATATCTTCTTGGTTCAGCTTTGGTAACTCATATGTATCTCCTTCTGTGTTTGGTATCTTATTAGGTTCTTGAAGTAGGTATAGATGATCTTCTGGATTTCTACATAATCTATTGTGATTTCACCCTTTTCATTTCTAATTGCATGGAATTGAGTCTTTTTCTTTTCTTGGTAAGGTTGATTAAGGGTTTGTCAGTATTATTTAATCTTAATGTTTCAAAGAACCAATTCCTTGATGTCTTGTGTAAGATGGAATCACAGTGTTGTTTTAGTTTACACTTCTCTGATGCCCAGCATTCTGTCTAGCATTAGCTGTCAGAAGTGAAATGGCCATGGCTCTAAAATGAGCCATGTTTTGCTAGGTGCCTCAGCTGGATGGCGGATCCCCGCACACCATACTTGTCACAGATTACACTGTATCCAGGAACACAGTGCTATCACCTCTGCCACAAGACAAGCCTGTCATCTCCACAAGCTTGTCATCTCTGTGTCAGGCCTTCAGACATATGACAGTCAACCACCTGCCAATAGCAAGTTCAAATCCATCCACACTTCTAAAAACACATGCATGAGGTTATCTATGCTCAAAAAGTTAAGATCAAATTATCATCATAATCATTTTTTTCAAGTTTTGCAACTAAACTGTTCCCTTCTTGGAAACACTGCAGGGACTTGTGTCTCTGCTATAGTGCCTTTTATTGCACTGTTATCTCTGTTATTCTTATCAGCACCAGGTTTTTGTTACTGTTGCTGGGGTTTTTTCTTCAGGACTGGGATTCAAGCCCAGGACTTACCCAGTGAGAAATGCCCCAATCCTTGTTTATTTATTTATTCATTTATTATTTGCTCATCGAGACAGGATTTCTCTAAATTACCCTGCCTGAGCTCAAACTTGTGACCTTCCTGCCTCAGTCTCTCCAAAGGCTGAAACTATTCAGATGGCCACTGTAGCCAGCGAGGGTAGGTTCTTCAAGAATGGAGGTCTCACAGGTCATTTAGGCCTCACCCACAGACCCTTGCTCAAAAAATATCTGTAGACGATTCCTTACCAGTCTCTTCCAGGTTTCACTTGCAAAAGAAAGCTAATCTTTTACGTTTCACCTCTGTTATTCTGCTATTATAGCATTTTGTGCCACTGTATCAAGACTTCGAGAATTTTTATACACGGAACCTTTACATGCGAATCAGAGACACCTGGAGCCGGTCCCTCTGCAGCGCCCCGGGGCCTTTTTTTGACATAATGGAAAGAGTGTCAGATGACTATAACTGGACGTTCAGGTGAGGCAGTCACTTGGAGGGGGCTGGTGGGGAAAAGTCCTTTTATAGAAATGCTGGCTGGGGAGCACCGGATTAGAGATCTGAAAGACCAGAGCACTGAACCAGCTGGTCCCTACCACGCAAGGAGAGGAAGTCGCAGTCACCATGTTGCCAAGATGGCTTTTTTTATGCTATAATTAAAATGAGACCTGTGTCAGAGATGCAGCACACACAGAGCCAGGCTTGAAGAATTGTCCAACTGTCCCCCTCTACTTCTTCCAGTGGAGGCCATGCTGAGCACAGAGCTTGTCTGTTATCTGACTTTTTTTATCTGAGCATGGGTGTCATGGAATCAATTACCTGAGGGGCATCAGGCTGCAGGCAATGCCACGGCTCAGAATATTTTTCTCCAATACTCAGTCCCCACTCATTAGGGAGCCACTTTCCCCTTGTGTGCTGACAGCAGAGCACATTGAAAACAAAAAAGAAAATGTATGATGTGGGCCTACCAGAGGTCTGTTTGGCAGCAAGATCATATAAAATGAGATCACCCTTTGTGCTCATCTGTCTCCCTGCAGGTTTACTGGAAAAATCATCAAAGATGTCATCAATATAGGCTCCTATAACTTCCTTGGACTTACAAACAAGTATGATGAGTCCATGAGGACAGTGAAACATGTTCTGGAGACATACGGGGTGGGCATAGCCAGCACCAGGCAAGAAATGGGTAAGTACATTTGTCAGTTTGGACTTTTATTCAGTTGGGTCCTAGATTTCTTGTGGCTGTCTCTCAAACTAAGCTGTGTGCCTCAAGTAACTGTCATAAAATTCAGAAAGAAAAAAACAGATAATATTCTTATTTGAAAATTTCAAGCATTCTGCCATTGCCAAGCACTTATTAGTTACATTTTAATTCTCCTGAATAAGTTAAAATTGATTATTCCTTCCCGTATTTCTAAAATAACAACTATCACACCTCCTCTAGCAGGTCCTTTCCCTCCATTTCTCCATTTTTCTTAATAATTTTCATTGTTGATTAAAATAATCTTGCCTTTGTATTTTCATAGGATCTGTCTCTGCTACTCAAATACAAGGGCTGGCCTTGTGGAGTGTTGTGCTGAATGAATGAATGAATGAATGAATGAATGAATGAATGAATGAATAGAACAGACTGCCTATTTATTTCATTCTCACAAAACCATTCCCTTCTTATTCAAAGGGTTGAAATCTGTGAGAAGGAGACTCTACTCCTCTGCTCTTCAGAGAGAAATAAACAGCACAATCTTGCTCTTATAGGCTGATTTGCGGTTTCCAGCATGTTGTTTTTTACACATAACACCTGATTTACTGCAAAAAAAAATTCTGTGCTGCAAGCGTCACAGTAATATCATTCCCATCATGGCATCTAAGTGATGTGCTGAAATTGTCCAATTTTAGTCTACCTCAGCTATCTCTCCCATGGCAGGTCCCTGTTACAGAGACGCTAGCAAGGACATCAAGTCATACAAGCCTAATTAAGAATCAGAGGCCACTGGCTGTCCCCCAGTGGCCTCTGCATGGTGCCAATTCACAGCGAGGGCTTGTTTCTTGGTGACTTCTTGTTCTCTTCCCCCATTCCGCGAATGGCACTGACTCACGGGAAGAGGCTGGCATCTGGCTCTTCCCTAGCAGCCCACACATGGCACTGATTCACAGGGAGGGCTTGCTTCTCCGGTGACTTCTTTCCCATGAGTCACTGCCATTTATAGACTGTGGGGGAAGAGAACAAGAAGTCAACAAGAAGCAAGTCCTCCTGCTAATAGGCGCCATGCACAGACACTGCAGGGACAGCCAGATGCCAGCCCCTTCCCATGCACAGGCTGGGAAACCAGAAGAGTCACTCCCCCACCCACCTCATGCTGTAAGTGGCCAACTGATCTAGAGAAACATAGACTGTGATGATGTCTATTGAAGTGGAATACAATTTAATGCTTGCAGTGTTTAGTGTTTTACTGACTTTGTAGATCTAAAGCCAGTGGTCTGATCATCTATTCAGAGGATGGCAATATGCAGTTTAGCACCTATGGAGGATCTCATTCTGAGGGTGGTGGCCATTGTTGATTTCTTATTGTCTTGTTTGGAAATCCTGTATCATTTGCATTCTTTTGTTGGATTGGTTTTTGTTCTGTTTTGTGTTGTTTGATTTTATTGTATCTGATAGCATGGGCAGCTATTTCAAAGATAACAAGATATATTATGGTAGCCATTTTGAATTTACTATTATCTTGTTTTGAAGACCTTTATTGCATTCATTGTTTTGTTTTTATTGATTCTATTCTGTTCTGATTTGATTTTTACTATGTCTGAAATTATCTGCAGCTATTTTGAAGACAGCAGGAAAAATTAACTATTATTGATTTCCTATTGTTTTGAAGTCCTATGTCACTTACACTGTTTTGTTTTTATTGGCTTTGTTCTGTTTTATTTTATTGTTTTATTCTCTTTAAAATTAAAAACAGAATCAGAGGCAATTTAGATAGAAAAGCACTTATCCTTAATGACTAATGCATCACATGGCCCTGTTAAGTACTCACCTAGCAGAAGGTCTTAAAGAACAATGTAATTATTCAGACCTGTGCAACAAATAATTCAAATTAAATGGAAGTACTTTTGTATCCAAGCATGCAATAAATATTAAGTAGTATTTAGTTAAAACTCCAGAGTTAATAGTGATTGCTCAGATTGCATAAAAAGACATATGTCTTATCTTCATCTCAAGGTATAAGGGCTAGAGATATAAACAGGATAACTGTGAGTTGCCAGAAAAGAGTTGTTTCTTTTTCACATAGAAGTGGAGATGCCCATAGTGCCCTGTGAAGATGGAGCAAAGACCAGAAGAATGCTCCCATTCTGAAGGGCACAGACTCAGTAACTTTTTGGAATATTTCTTCTGGTACTGGTGACCCTTGATACCAGTGTTGTTAATGAACAGAGAGAATACAGAGTCCAAAAGATGATGAACTTTCAATTCCATGAGACAGAGCACTTTCTCATCACACCTGACACAGCTGACACATCACGATGCCAGCAATAGTTCTGCCTGCAGTGGAGTCAGGTATGGAGCATGGGTTTCCAGTTCTGTGGGATCAGCAAGTATAGACAAAGTGAGCGGAAATAAATTTCCCACTTGGTGATGCTTAAGGCCTACGCTCTCTCTGCTCCTACTCACACTGATGATTTGTTGAACTTTTCACACAGTAAGAAGTTGGAGTGCTGTTTCATTCAGCATTCCAGGTGAAGTTCTAAGAAGATTTTAATAATTTTCAAGTATACAATGAAATACTCTAAAGAAGCCACCTGCACTAATTTTGGCCAAATGGAAAGACTGAAACATGAATATAAACAATCAAAGAAGAAATAATTAAGAGGGAATATCATGAAGTATTCATCAGCATAAATAATAATCTTAGCATGCTATATAAGAATTGGGCATATAATAACTCCAAAAGCCTTTTATCTAAGCAATTCAAGTAATTCTTGAAAATCATATGCTTTAGAGTCTTAAGAAAATGTTTAATGGTGCAAATGAATTAACAAACTTGTCTACTAAATGGAAAAGACTGAGATTTGGTTCAAAACCTAACCCCAATAATGCACTGTAATTTAAAATAAAGTACTATTTAATTAAAGTTACTCTAGAAGATAAAAAGTAAAACAGCTAGGGCCCAGACAGGACCATCCCCTTGGTTCCCAGATCAAGATCGATCAGTGGAAACAGTGGCAGAAATAAAAGGGAAAAAAGCTAAAAGGAAAGTTGCTTGCCAAATGTGCACCTGCTGGACGTCCCAAGACACAGCTGCAAACGATGCAGTTCCAGACCCAAGTGTGCAGACATGCAAATGCTGCTTTTACCATGGGAAAGGTGTGCTGTTGCTAGTTTTAGAGTACAGCTAAAAAAGAAGTAGTGGGATCCAGACATAACAAAGGTCTTTATTGTCTTGTGGGTCCAATCAAAATTTCACAGGTTAATGACAATGGGAGAATGTTCAGTTGTAATATCCTAAATATTAGGCAGAGAGAGATGAAAATTTGAGTCATAATCAAGCATTGAAATTACCTAAGACATTTTAAATGTGTGTCTTTCACTGAGGTTGCTGTTAGGATGCTCCTACACTATGGCCTTCCCTTTCAAACTGTGTGCCATACACACACTTGTATGTGCAAGTTTGGTAGTAACAATTAGTTGTCTGTTCTGTAAACTAACAAAGTTAGTTAGATTAACTTTGTTAAAGTGCTGTGTGTGAGTAATATAATTTTGTGCATTAGAGAACTCTAGACCTAAGAACTTATCAAAATTTTAAAAGATTAATAGTATACTCCTGTAAAGATGTTTTGATCCCAAATTTTTAGCTGGAAGGCCATTAGAAGAACAGTTTGAAAAAACATTTTAAAACTACACAAATTTTTAGACTTTTAGATTTTCAACACTAGAAGTGAGAACTGTGTTCAAATTTTTCATAATATCTCAGTTCTGAACATCAAACAGTTAAGTGGCATCTTCAGTATACAAAAATTTCCACATTTTGCCTTTATATTTATTTATCTGAAAGCAAGACTGATTTAACTTTCCCCTATGTAGAAGATGCTTATTTGAATATATTGGTGGAAAACACAGTGAAATAATTCCTCAGGCAAAGGCAAGACATAATTATTTTTCCTTCATGTGAATTGATTCAAATAAATAATAAGCCAAAACTTCAAATATATGAGTAGCCTAAATATATAATGTAATCATGCACAAAAATAAAGCTTAAGTTTAAATTAGGAATCATTAAACAAAAGATTCACATTATAAAAAATTATGTAAATAATGCAAGATGAAGATAGATATAACTCCTGTATCTTCTAGGCATTTGATAACATGTTTCAGGCGAAGATCCGGAATGCTTACATTTTGCATACAATGAGAAATTAGAGGCACAATGAATTATGAGAATTTTTTAAAAGCCTGGGGTAAATTTATAGTTCACAAAGACCTAAGCAAGAAATATTTAAAGGCAGGCAAGGTAGTACACACCTGTAATCCCAGCCTGGAGGCAGAGGCAGGGGGATTGCAATGAGATCAAGACCAGCCAAGGCTACATAGTGAGACCCTGGCTAAAAAAAGAAGAAGAAGAAGGGGGTGGTGGGGAGAGGAGGAGGAGGAGGAGAAAAGAAAAGTTAAAAATTAAATAATAAAAGGTCATAATTCTGTCTTTTAAAATAAAGATGTCAAAAAAGAATAAAGATATAAAGAAATAGACATAAAAATATAGATACATTTACAAATGATTTATTCATTGTCAATTGAATAGCTATATATTGAATGTTAACCTTTAACACATGGTATCTGTATATTTCTTCTTTTTAAAAACTCATTGAATTTTCACAAAAATTTACTACACATGATGTCACCAAGAAAAAAATCACAATAATTTCTAAAAATGGAACATATGTAAGTTATTCTTGGATCACAGCTAAAAATTAATAGCAAAATTAAAAGCAAACAGTTTTTAGAAATAATTTCAAAGTTTTAAATCACTTTGTAAAAGAGCTCTTAGATCAATTAGGAAATAAGTTATAGTTGCATCCACACTTCCCAGTTGAAGAAATATAAATGCCAAATAAATATATGAAAAAATGTTCAACATAATTGGTCATTCAAGCAATGCAAATTAAAACAAAGCTGAGATTACATCTCACTCCACA